AGATAGATTGAAAGATACATTTTTGAAATACCATTGGTTATAAGGAAATACCATTTTTTTCTGCTTCCTTTTTTGATAACTTCATATTGCATATCTTCCCCACAGCTGTTCCAATTTCACTACATGTAGTTGTTGATTTACAACTGTTAGTTTAGCAGCCTTACAACAGCACTGAAAAAAGTTACACACAGTCAGTCTTCAGAACAAAGCAGCCAGCTTGCTTAGCAACAAAATTCTGGTCTCAGTTCTGGAGGACTACCTATAACCACCCTGTACCTTACATATAGCATGACAGAATGACAGAATTACTTAACCACAGCAAGAGGAAAAAAATAAGCACCATTTATTCCTCCTTTATCTTTTGATGCTTCTTTACAACTTACAAAGCCGCTCTGTCTTTTTTTATAAAGGGTTATTTGTTCCTAATACAAAATCTTTTAAATCTTCAGCAATCCCTGCAAAGCTCACCCACTTTGCACCTTCTTGAAAACTCATTCTTTAGCTCTTAGTAGCTGAGGCAAAGAAAAGTGAGAAAAAGATGTAATTTAAAACACACACACACACACAGAGAGAGAGAGAGAGAGAGAGAGAGAGAGAGAGAATAAGTTATACTGAATTATTTCAAATATAAAGTTGCTTTATTTCAGCCTTTTATTAGGGCTATAACAGTTCCTCACCGCAATACATTTTCAGTTTTGTGTTATGACACTTCTCTGCTGCAATAGTTCAACATATGTAACAAGACCCTACCTGAGAAACACAATGCCCGCAAGGGTATCTTTTTTCTCAACCATGGCACAGTTTAATACAGAGGCTACAATTTTGAAAGATTGCTATAGAAAGCTTTCAATTAACAGAGGAGGGAAATCTCCCTGACAATAGATCTTCTAATTTTCACTGTCAATAGAAATCTGTAGGCTCCAAAACAGGTGCTGGGCTTGACTATATAGTCTGGTGAGCTATGAGTCTAATTCATTTAAAAGTCTATAAACAAGATGGCCTTTGTCCTACAGAGATGAAAGACCTGCAGCTATAATGGGATGAAAGGTGTACACAAGGATGAAGAAAGCTATTAGAGATCTATGTCCTTTCTTGAACATGCCCTGGCATGCATTCTTGACAAGGGAACAAACCCATGCAGAGAAAACTCATTTCATTCCACCTGCCTATGTGAAAACTACTGAATCTTTCCTATCAGTTTACTAGTGAAAAGCCACACTCACGGAGAGAAAATACCACTATGATAGAATCATTATTTCCAGAACAGCATGTTTCCTACTACAGTGTGTAGCCCAATCCATATTAGTGGCATAACTAAATGGATTAGTTTTCCACGGTTTGAGAAGGGGGAGGTTTACATGATTTCCCATAGATGCAATGTTTGTCAACCCTGGTAGTTTGGAGATGTGTGGACTGCAATGCCCAAAATTCCCCAGCCAGGTATGCTGGAAAACACTATGCTATTCTACTTTTTCTAGAACTGTGTTCACACCATACATTTAATTCAGTTTAATGCCCAGGACTTATACTATCATAACATCAGAAACTTGGATAATTTTAGATTTTACTTAAAAGATGTATGTGTATGTGTGACTTCACCTGTTCTGTGAAGCTCACACGTTGGGTTATGTTTGGTTCATTGGAGTGTGTGATAGTAAAAGTGCATTAATTCAGTACTAGAATAATTCACACAGAATCTGAGGGAACGGTTTAGGAACAAGGATTTTCTTCCCCATCCAAATTCACATGAGCTAAGTTAGTTCACACCACAACCAGTTTTAACCAGTTGATTTCAGTGTATCTCAACTTTGTTAGCTTGAAGATGTATGGACTTCAACTCCCAGAATTCCCTAGTCAGCATGCTGGCTGGGACATTCGGGAAGCTGAGAACCACACATCTAAAGGTTACCAAGGGTGAGAAATATTGGTTGATTGTATACATGTGTCATGACAGAACAAGTTTCCAACTTATAGAAATATATCCTGCATAGAAATGCAATATAATGCACTATGAACTATGCATTGATTTATACAGTAACAAAGAAACTGAAATATATAAATTGTGCCAAATAAGGATAATTAAGATCTCCCTATTCAGTGTTTCACTTAAAATTGCTTAAACTTTCATGTAGGCTAAGTTCACACATTATGTTAACTCATAATGTGGTTAGTTTGGCTTTACTACTCAAATATGCATTCTTAAGGCAACTTTCCCTGGATCACTATTGGCCAGGTATGTTGGCCTTCACCAGCCAGAATTTCCATCCAGCTTGATTAAAGAGGTCTTAAGCCAGCTTCCCTTCACTGACTGTCCATGAAACATTTTCCACAACTATCTTGTGTTAGTCAACTTTCTTAGCTGGGTGGACACTTGGAGAATCAGACAGTAAGCTCTAGGCCACTGCACCTCATGTTGCAATAAGAAAGAAGAATCCGGCTATCATTTGTGGCATTTCATATGCAAAGGGTGTGTCCCTCTTTATGGCTTTGTTTAGGCCAAGCTGGGTGGTTGGGGAAGGGGGAATCGTTTAAAGTTCTCTCTGTTCTGAACTTCTATAAAGATTTGGTGTGGATTCAGAGACATCCAATCTGTACATGTGGTGGTTTCACAGACAACACGTGATCTAGGCTAAAAACAGATACACAGAAACTCGTACCTATAATTATACATTTTAAATAGAACTTTGCCCTAAAGAGTATTCTACTCAAATCCAGCTGGTTTATTCAACCCCATTAACAAACAAAGAGAAACCCCCATGAATAATATCTCTCAATTTTTTTTAAAAAAAAGTCAGCTTAGCCAAACTGAAAAGTGACAAGTTTCCTTTAATTTGTTTTAACCCATTGCCATGTGCTCAGGCTTTGCTCATTACAAAGCCACAGCAAACAAGGAATTATCAGGAAATCTTTCTTGGGTCATTAAGTTCCAAATCCACAACCTGCTTTGCCCCCCACCCCCAAGCAAACCTTTCCTCATCTGAAAAAGTGCATCATATGTAATGAGTTTGTGGACTACAAACCAGACTGAAAAGAATTTCGTTGAATAAAGCAAGCTAGCTTTTTAGAACAGCTCTGAGCTTTCTTCTTTCCATTGGGATCTTTCCATTTATAGATGCTTCTGCAGCAACTCCATTGCTCTTCAACACGATCCAAATCCTTTAACATGTACTACGAGTTGTTACCTAAACCTTGAGATCTCAGACACAGGACTGAACTCACCATCACTGCAAAGTGCTGGGAGAGAGCTAGAAGTGCATATGTGATAAGACTTAAGATAACAATAATCAACTGTTATCTTATGCAAATGTATCTCTGAGCAATTTCCAGAGTGTATGCATAAAACTGTGATTAATTCATTTATGATGCACAACAGTTCATGATAGCAAATAAAACTAGGAGCTCTTTAGACTAATTCTGCAAACATCTTGATAAGCAGTTGGTATCTCTTAGCAAACCTTTGTTCACACGTAACACATATGAGGCTATTTTCACAACCCTGCACTGGATATTTAATTAGTGGATTAGATGAGGCTATGGTATCATCACATTACTCCACAACAAAGATTGCATGTTATGTTCATATACGTATTTTTAAGTAGAAGAAAGTTCAATTTGTTTGTTTCTAGTTTACATTGAGGAATAAATCTAATGTTTGGGGGGGAGGGGCATAATCAAAATTTCATTATCAGGCTCTAACCCAACAATATGCAGGAGGAGATTAAAATGCAGAAAATGTCACCTGTCCATTGGATGACACAAGGAGCAAGCAAAGTGTTTGTCCAGTTATGTTATTGCAAGTGGAGAACATAATGGCTTCTGTTATTACAGATTAATTAATTTCACTAGTTAAAAGTCCTGCAATTTGTCACCTTTCCCAGTCCTCTGTTTTCATACACTAAAGGCAATGCCACTCATTCCCAAATCAATGTGTGGTATTGCAACTTTAGATTCATGCAGGTGCACTTCCCAAGGTCCTTTAAGGCCAGCTAATTGCAAGATTTCAAGGGGTAGCTTGAAAAAATATGTAATAGGCTTGAAGAACAGTTAAAGATCACTCAACAATTGGTTACTCATTAATCAGGTGGGGCTCATATCTAGAGGGGAAAGTTGCTGAAATTCAACAAATCCAACAAGTTAACTCTTTTTTTTACTGTCCAGGATATACGGTTGGAATAAATGCACCTTATTAAGAATCCACATTGATTTACGAAAGGATTTTGGAGATAATAGCTCCCCATAGTTCGTGACCCCAACCACGCTTGAGAATATCCACCCTTTTGATCTAATGGTGTCTCTCTACATGTGGTTTTAAGAAATAAAATAAATTCTAGTTCTACCTTCCTAAGTACCAAATTGGACAGGAGTCCCAATTCAGAGATTTGGCCTTCACAACTTCAGGAAGCATACACTGAAGACACCGTGCCCTTTAGAGACACACTATTGTCCATGTGGTTGATGTGGGGATCCCAGTGACAAAACTATTTTATCATGGTGAGAAAGTCTAAGCATTTGAAAAAGAGCAAACAAAATTCTGTTCATTTAACAGAGGATCCAAGAAGCTATAAGAAAGGATGGCTTTAAAAAAAAAAATAAGTTCAGTTTTTTTACCTGTGAGTAATCAAGTAAAAGTCTGGAAGGAAGATAAACAACAATTCCTGACTGATTCATGCCAGCCATAAAGAGAAAAGAAGGTTGCTGGAAGGCTAGGTTCAGGTTTAAGCAGGCCTTTAATGACCCAATTACTGTGGGTCATTTTTGTTTCCCATAATACTTCTCAGGGGTGCGGAAGAAGATGGCTGCCTCTGCCAGATCGCCAGGGACCTGCACCTGGGAATCTAGGACAAGTATCCTCAGTGCCCAAAGATCTCTGGTAGGTCACCAGCCTTGGGGCTCCTAGGACCAGGTGCTGGTCCTACCTCCACCAGGTTCTTCCTGGCTTCCCAACAACCGCCTTCTCCCAAGCGCTCCCAACCACTTTCCACCATCAGCCAGCGACTCACCCATGTTCACGAAGCTCATGACCATATCTGCCTCGGTGAGGAAATTGCTGTCCTGCAGGCTGGCCAGGGGTGGCCCTTGAGTACTGAAGATAGGCTTGTAAGGGTAGGAGAAGCCTTCGCCGCTTTCGCTGGGGCCCTCTTCCTCCACCGACATAGCGTTGTAGAGGTCCAGCATGAACATGGGAGCCGAGTTGTGCTTGCCGTGCAAGTGGGGCCTCGGCCGGTGGGGCAACCCCAGGATGGACAGGATCTCCCGCTGCATCTCCCGGCGCTCCTGGCTCCGGAGCCTCCTGTGGATGAAACTCGAGTGCACCTCGTTCTCCAGGGTGAAGTCCGCCAGGGCGCACCGCAGCTCCAGAGTCCAGAGGAAGATCCAGACGAGCCGGGAGGGAGCCGCCAGCTGCTTGAACCACCCCGCCGCGTGCATCTCCGTCACGGGAGTGTGTTGTGTGTATGTGTGTGTGTGTAGATCTAGGAAGCCAACGGGCTGAGCGGCGGCGGCGGCGGCGGCGACCGGACGAAAGAGCTGACCATTAAAAGGGGGGGGGGGCGGGCAGCTGAGCGGAGCGCCCCGCGGAGGGATCACTCGGCTCGGGAGCTGCCCTGGGAAGCCGACCTCGAGGCGCGCATGATAAGCCCGGGCTGTCGCGGCGGGAAGCGGCTCAGTTGGCAAAATCCATACACGGAGGTGAAAAAAGAAAAAAAAGAAAGGAGACCGACCCGATCCCCTTCCCCACCTCGCCGCTTCTCGCGGGCACCGCGCTCCTTCGCTCGCCCCGGCCGCTTCCAGTCCTGTGCGCGTCTCGCCGCGAGTCCCGGAGTTTTCCAACTGCAGCTTTTGCCGAAGCAACAGGCGGCAGCTCGGGCGCTTAGTGGGCGGAGCTCGCTTCTCTTGCCTCGCTGCCTCCCCAAAATGTCTGGGAGTCAAGCCGCAGGAGCGAGTCAAGTCTCTTTCCTCGCCGGGCTCCGACGTCCGTTTGGAGGCATTTCCAAGAGAGAGCCCCCCCTCCCCCGCCCACGATTCCCCGCCTCCGGTCCTTCACCCGGGCCGCCGCCGCCCCCCCCTCCCGACTGGCTTGGAGAATAATGAGCGCGGGGCGCACACGCACACTCGTGGCGGGTGCTTGCGTGGAGGGCCTCTGCCCCATCTGGCGAAAGGGAAGAGAGGCACTTGTTTTGTGTAGGCGCGCAACCCGTCCCTGGGCGTTCCCGGGGAGCGAAGCCCACTTGCGTAGTTTGCTCCCAGGTAAGCGCGTGGGCGGGCGACGTGGGCGGCAGGGTTTGCGGGGGGTGGGTGGGTCGGAGAGCGCTGAACCAGCGGCCGGTTCCACGCGGGGCTTGAGTCTCCACAGCAGGGAAGGGGATGGTTTGGATGGCGAGAACTTGGTTATGCTAAGAAGCCACATTGTATCTAAATGTATGGAGATCCTTTCCTTTCTTCCTTTCCTGACCTGTTTTTTTGTTTTGTTTTGTTTTTGATAAAGGGCGTTCTTTTAAAAGTTGTCCTTCTGTTCTCTTTTTTTTTTTCATTTTTCTTCGTTTCTTTCCTGACATTTTGGTTCCCTTATAAGCTTCAAATAAATTCTATTGCCAGGTGAGAATGAATTCAAATTTTGGTTAAAAATGATTGTGTCGACTTACACTTAAAAATGTATTTGGAGCTATTTCAACTCAGATGCTTTTATAATTAGACGTGTGTGGTGATATGAGGGTTTTTTTCTTCTTTCACCTTCATATTTTACATTTTTGCTTCATTGGGTGCCAGGTTTAGGAGCTATTTGCCAAATATGATTTAGGTGACAAGTTAATTTTATTGAAAAGTGGTTTATCTATCACCTAGTAATATATTTCTTAGCAGTTAATTAAAGTTGGGAATTCATTTCATTTCATCAAACATACTCGTATCCTTCACTTGCAATCGTGACTCTGAGCTTTTAACATTGACTTAAAAAGAAGTCAACAACCTCCCCCTTCCCCAAATAATTAAAAATAATAAGGCAACCCACAATCATACTCTTACCCTTTTCAGAATAAGCTCATCAATCCCACCCACCAGCTACTCCAGTGCCCAGGGAAAAGAGGCTTGCAAAAGGCCAGAAGGATTGAGACCATCTGCATTTCAGGACCTCTGCTCCTTCATAGCAGGGGTCTCCAACCTTGGCAACTTTAAGACTTGTGGATTCCCAGAATTCCTCAGCCAGCAAAGCTCTCCAACCTTGGTCTCCAACCTTGGCAACTGGAGACCTCCAAAGGTCTCCAACCTTGGCAACTTTAAGACTTGTGGACTTCAACTCCCAGAATTCCTCAGCCAGCAAAGCTGGGAGTTGAAGTCCACAAGCCAGCAAAGCTGGGAGTTGAAGTCCACAAGTCTTAAAGTTGCCAAGGTTGGAGACCCCTGCTTCATAGGACCAGTCTTGCAACAGAGGAGGAGGAGGCACATTTGGGTCCCATCAGGTGGCTTTGTTTCAGAGAGGAGGCCCAAAGAGAGCCAATTTAGTCTGGTGGTTAAGGCAGCAGGCTAGAAAACAGGAGATGATATGAGTTCAAGTCCAGCCTTAGCCAGGAAATCCAGCTGGCCAGTCAGTCTCTCTCAGTCCAACCCACTTCACAAGGTGGTGGTTGTGGAGAAAATAGGAGGTGGTGAGTGTTGGATATGTTCACCTCCTTGAGTTATTTGTAAAAAATAATTAAAAGCAGGATACAAATTTTAAAAAAAGAAAGAAAGAAAGCATCCCCACCCTTGGTGGACCTGGTTGAAAAACCGGAGATATTTGGAGAAAGGCAACTCTACCAGTACGGTAGCTTCTGGGTAGTCTTCAACTGCAGACCTATGTAGACTGTATTGCAGTAGTCCACATGGGAGATGACCAAGGCACGAGTGACTGGAGCAGGACCACCTAATCCAGGAAAGTGCAATATGCACACAAAATGGATTTCTGCAAAGCAAAGCCCCTCTTGGCTGCATTTGCCACCTGGTCCTTCGAGGGTCCAAGAGGATCCCCGGATTGTGTACCAATTCATTTGAGAGAGCGGTGCCCAATCCAGATCTAACAATGATTGCTTGCCAAAGGGAAAGAATTTCCCTAAACACACAGCCACTTAGTTTCTTCCTCATCCAGAGCCTCCAGATACAGGGAAAGAGCCTTAACATCAACATCTGGTCAGCTGGGGGGGGGGGTTGAGATACGTAACTTTGAATTATGTAGGCATTTAGCCCATGTTAATTACCTCCCCAAGGGTTGCATGTTGGGTTAGGGTTATGCTGCATTGAGTAGGAATGGAAGAGAATGAGGCATGCAGCTGAGCAGAAGCTTAAATCCAGGTCTCTTTGCTCTAAACACCAACAGGAACTGACCTTGGATGAAGGAGGAAAAACACTGAAAAACTAGGCCCCATTGTCTCAACACCTAAGCTGGTCCAGAAAGATATCATGACCAAGGATATTGAAGAGCACCAAGATATCAAGGAAAACTAGAATGGATGCCCAACATCCCAGTCCCACCTGAGATCATCTACAGTGCCACCTTAATATCCGTGAAGATTCTGAGTCATCCAGGACATGGTTGCCCCAAGGTGCTTTTTTCAAGAGAGAAATGGACTTTCTTTGGTTTTCCTTGAAGACATTTTGCTTCTCATCCAAGAAGCTTCTTCAGTTCACAACTAAAGAAAAACGAAGTCCAGTCGCCTCTTGAAAAAGCATTTTGGGACTGCCACAGTGGTGGGATTCAATTTTTTTTACTACTGGTTCTGTGGGCGTGGCTTGGTGGGCATGACATGGCTTGGTGGGCGTGGCTTGGTGGGCATGGCAGGGGAAAGATAATGCAAAATCTCCATTCCCACCCCACTCCAGGGGAAGGATACTGCAAAATCCCCATTCCCTCCCCACCCCACTAACCTGTTTTCCAACTCCATTCTCCTGTGCAGGGCAACCAAAGAAGACCCAGCCAATCAGCTGGGACTCAGGAGGCAGAGAATAGATGGGGGTGGGGCCAGTCAGAAGTGGTATTTGCCGGTTCTCTGAACTACTCAAAATTTCTGCTACTGGTTCTCCAGAACTGATCAGAACCTCTGGACAGCCATCTTAGTACTATATCCTAACCTGATTGAAAGCACGTTCTATCTCAACTTTCCCTAAAAAATAGAAGGGAAAGTCTTCTTTTTCAACTTGGATGAAAACTATCCAGCTTTATTGAATCCAATGATGGTTTCTACAGGAGGGGGACTATAGAAAGTAAGGGAAATGACTTTGATGGAAATATCCAAGAACTGTTACTTACACAAAAGAGACTGAAAATGTGTTTAATCTCTGAGAATTTAATAGTTGGAAGCACCTCAGACAGGCACCACCCTTGGTTCTCTGTGGTATAAGAAGTGGGAAGAGCTATAGCATAATGAGACTTGCAAAATTGTATTGTTATACTCCCTCTTAATAAAGGTAGTTCTTCTCTTCCTATGAAGTTGATTTCCTGGGCTGGTCTACCTAGTGGAGCTAACTTTAATCTTGCAGGGCTCTTAAATAAGAGGCTTAAGATCTCACCTTTCTCTGTAGAAATGGCCCCCCAATTTCAGGGCACCTCACTATCCACTGAGCATCTTGCTAAGTGCAATTGCAACACAACAGATAAGTAACTAACTTGCAAAATGCCTTGATGCAACTACCACAACAGTTGGGAGAGAATTCGCCTCAATCAGCAACAGCAAAACTGCCAGCCACACAGCTGCCAGCATTTCTGAGTTCTCATGGGAGTTTATCAGAGAAATTCAGAGGAGACCAAGACCAACTCCTGATCTTCATGACTCGATATGAACAGTTTATGGTGGGTTGGCCAGCAGAGTTTCTCCCAGATCACACTGATCACACTAAAGTGATTTTTGTGCTCAGTTTGCTGAAAGAAGTGGTAGCCAAAGGAGCCATATCTGTCATTGAGGGCAATCACCCACACGCTGGACAGTTATCAAAATGTCATGCAAAGATTTAGACATTTCTTTCAAAATATCATGAAACGAGTGACCATCAACCATGAAATCCGCAGTGTGGGGTACAGGTGAATATAACAGTTTTTAAATTATTTCCAGATATGTGGGATAGAATGATTTGGCTCTGACCAATTTAGAGAAGGTCTTGCTGACAAACTGAGAGATGAACTGGTGAGACAGGGCACCTCAGATACTTTGGAAGAGCTTTTATAACTGATGGCTGACCGGAAGAGTTGATGCAGGGGAGAACTGGCAAGGTTTTGCATTGTCTCTTCTGTGTCCCCTCTCTCAGTGACCTCTTGGGAATCCTGTGTAATCCATGTAAAGTGGATTAATTGAAAGATTGCTATCCTCAGGAGAGAAATAAAGAAGAAGGGAATCAGGATTATGCTTTTACTGTGATACTTTCAGGT